GGCGGTGGTCGCTGTGTCTTGGGGAGGCCCGCTCCCCCGCCCCACTGCTTCCTGTTCCGCTTGCCCCCAGCCCGCCCCGGGCTTGACCCCGCCAGTCCACTTGCGGCGCCAGGAGTGGCGTGCTGCGGTGCCTCTTGGTCGCGGGGTCCGGCGGGGTCACAGCTCACGGGGCACGGGGCACTCTGGTGTGGGGCAGGTGGCGCACCAACTCAAACAGGGTCAAGCCACGGCTCATTTTAACGTCCCATTGCTACGTTTTTTGTTTGTTTGTGTCTCCTCTTGACCTGAGACTTCCATATCAAGACCGTCGCCACTACTTCGTAGTACTTCGACCGGTACGGGGCCTCCCACCGTAAGTCGGCCGGCCGCCCCGCGCTCGCCGCTCCGGGTCACCGGATCGATACCCCGGTTTTGTCAAGGCAGTGGAATATTTGTTTGAAAATGGACGGCGATGCGACGCAGGACTACGACGGCAAGAGTGAAAACGGCGCCGAAGTTGTGAAGGTGATCTGCCTGGGCGACAGTGCCGTCGGCAAGTCCAAGTAAGTGAGGAGGGAATGTCCTGCCCGACCTGTGCTGTGCCCCCCCCCCTTTTCACCTACCAGGGCATGTGCATAGCTCGCATTCCAATGGTCGTCTAGGGATGCTTTCTAACACAAAGGAACGTTTGATTTATAGGTTGCTGGAGCGATTCCTGCTGGATAAGTTCAAGCCACAAACTATTTCTACTTATGCACTAACTCTGTATAGGTATTCGTCAAAGGTCAAAGAAAATGATGTTATTGTTGGTAAATACAGAACTTGACACCTTAACACAAATTATGCCATAAATGAAAGACTTGGTAGAACCTGTTGTACTTGAATTCCAGATTTCTGGGATACTGCAGGCCAGGAAATGTTTCAATCGATGCACCCTTCATACTATCACCAGGCACATGCATGCATCATGGTGTTTGATGCAACAAGGAAAATCACCTACAAGAATCTTGAGAGATGGTATAAAGAGCTGCGACAATACCGCCCCCATATTCCAGTTTTTTGTGCAGTCAATAAAATTGATGGTAAGTTATCATGGTTTTACTTTGAAATTATCAAAGCTGTTTGTGGATGGCATATTTTACATTTTGTGTGGTATTATTTACTCAAGCTAATATGGACGTGACTCAACAAAGATTTGCGTTCCCTGAGAAAAACAGCATACCACTATACTACGTATCTGCATCCAATGGAATGAATGTTGTGAAGGTAAGCTATAATTGAGTTTTTATATTTTGATTGATGCAAACTGTGAGTAAATGTAAATAATTTACCTCTGTAATTTTGTCTAATCCAAGTTATTCAGAGATGCAATTGAGGCAGCAATGGTATACAAGAAGGACCCGCCAGATGTCACAGACCAAATTTTTCAGGAATTGCAGAGATTGTGACAAAGTTTTGACTTGGTGTGCTGAATTCAGTAAAGCACAAATCTGTTTGCATGAGCGAGAGCCTTATACAGATGGTAAACCTGGCAAAATCGAAAATCACACTTTGAGGGACCAAATTTCTGGACAAAGAAACATAACTTTATGAGTAAGATACAAAGTTAACTGGAATGGTAAATTCAATATCATTACAATAGGACTGCCTTCTAGAGGGACTACACCCTTTTTTTCATTTTGTGCCATGGGAACATCTTATGAACTGCATTTTATTGTTAAAAATACAGAAGAATAAGAAATCTTTGTTATGGTTGTTACAAATGACAAATGACTGACAAATGGAATTAAAGATTTAAAAAAGAATGAAACACTTTGATCTTTATTTTTATTGTTTTCAGTTGGACTTTTGAATTAAACATATCAACATATTATTTATAAGGAGATAAAATAATAATTTCAGAGATTTTTTTTTAATACTGGGTTATGCTGAGCCAATGAATAAGTAGTGATAAGACAACCACACTTAATAAGGTATGATATTGTTTCTATTGTCAGCTTGAGTTGAGTATGGAGAACATTTCTTCGGAACCGCTACTAATGGTACTGTATTTTAATAAAGTAAACCTCATTATGCACTAGACAAAGCAGTTATCGCATACAATGGAATGCAGGAATTAGTATTTCATTTATCTCATTCTAACAAGAAATCAAATGCAAAGCTTCCGGAGAATCTAAAAAATTAACAAAAGTCCACGACTCAAAAAAATATAACTAAGAGAACTGAAAACTTTACTTGTGCATAATTTTTTTTATTTCTTTTTTAAAGGCCTCAATATGTTTTTGTTTTTTTTCCTGTAGAAAAACCCTTAATAATGCTATCACAGTCCAGAAGCTCTAACAAATTTTAAATTCCCCAAAACACTAGAAGTAAATTAATTTTCATTGACTTGGGTTCAGCGTCACTTCCTCCTAAGACTCACTGCCTGAGTTCTTGTCTTGCTTGAGCTATAAGAGGCATGACATCATTTCTGTACAAGGGGTGGCGCTCACCATGAGTTATCCTCAAGATATCCTGAGCCTTTAACAACCAGTCTAATGCTGCCTCCACACATTGCAGGTAGAGGTTGAGTTTCCCCAGCTTTAGGTATAGAATTCCTAATAAAGGGTGAGTGATGCCATAGTATTGCCTGAAAGAACGAAAACATGATGTACTATTTGAAACTGAAACAAAGAGAACTCACCAAATATTTCTTTTGGACAAGCTGATGCCTCTATCTTAAGTAAATATATTTTAGTGGAAGTAATAAGGAGTTTGCTTACCGATAGCCAGGTTCCACTTCCTCACCAAGCTTTTTTGCATCTTCCCAAGAACCAACATCAATAGCACTTTCAAAAGCTGTATCTAGAGCTTTGATTCGCTGTAAATTCATTGGGTGGACTAGACCATCCTGTTTTTTCAAACATACTTTACAAACATCCAAATCTTTGGTAAAAGTTAAGAAAAATATTTCTGGGAAAAAAATGTTATTAGATTTGTGAAACCACAAACTCTTGTATTTAATTAATAAAGATCAGTGTACAAATGAAATTAGCAGATGAATTTTAAAGGATACATGCAATATCAACATCTTTCATTGATTGTAAATGATGTTGGGTGAAGTCAATTATATCAAGGTACTCATTGATACGAGCTGGTTTAATGTGTTCATTGCATTTGCTGCACAGTTTTCCGTATGTTTCCTGTTAACAATATTTGGAGAGGCATTAAATGCATGAAATAATATTAAATTAGATTAAAATTTGAAATACATGTTGCTATCTTAAAACCCACAAACCGTTTGAAAGATAGGAACTGATGCTCCACATTTATTGTTGGGGCATAGCATGGATTTCTGGAGTTCCAATTCATTGCGATCCAAACAGCGGGTACATTGACAAAGAAAATAATATGTTGCTTGCAAATCTTCTTGCCGCTCTCTTGCCGAATTCAACAGATCAACATAGGTAATAAAAACCTGTAAAATTAACTCACTTATTCAGTCAGCAGTGGATCATATTCAGCAGAAAATAGAGGCAAGAGAACGAATATAAAAAGAGTAAGCAATTTTACAAAAGTACAGTCTGTCTATCTATCATATATCTGAACAATATAAAAACATCAACAAAGAGAACCTCTCCTAACCCAAAATTTTGACTTACTTTGCTCCAATCCATTTGTGGCATACTTTGCAGGGCCCTGATATGAATTGTAGTGCCAGTAAAAACAGCCACTGAAGTTGGATCACAGGAATGATCAATAATAGATACACCAATGTAAAGACCTGTACCAATGCTTACCATCTCTGGATCTAGTATATTAAAACCATTGACAACCATCTGGAAAGAAAAATGTAGAAGAGAAATTTTTAAAAAATGTTTTCTTGTTTATGTAACTGTTTAACAACCTTCACTAGGCCATTTTATCAAGGAAATCTACCAGGTACATAAAACATAATTGGCAAAAAGAGAAAAAAATAAACATATTTGAAACAGAGCAACAAGGAGGATTGCTTATTTTGGCCTGGAGTCATGCTGTTAATTGTGTCATTAGAATTTGGTTTTCAATTGACAATGCAAACATGCGGAATGAAATTTTTTGGACTAGTGGTCAATTAAGATCATAATTTTGAGTTTTTGATGATGAAAATAACCTTTTCCCTCATTTAATGAATGGAACAATGTCTGCATTATTAGTTAAATAAAAGACACAGCCTACTTAGAAAGAATAAAATCACACACTATTAGCTTAAAATAGATCTTAAAATATCCTTACCCTCCCATAAATTCCCAAGAGTTCAGCAGAATTGGGAAGTGAACTTTCACCAATATACTCCATGAGCACAGCGCAAAGTGATGTAAAATGTTCCATTCTTTTTGAGTCCTTTTTTATGTCCGAGTAATCTGAAGAAACCAGTGTTTTAGAGCATATTAACAAAAGAAATTTAATCTTGCTTTGGCATTAGTAGGAAAAGAAAAGCACATTTTGGGGAAAGCATAATCAAAGAGCATTTAGAAATCAAGTTCATGATGGCAAACTCTTTGAAAATTTAAAACAATTGAAAATGAATTGCTAACAGCAACATTCAAATTGAAAAAGTTTGGGATTACGGTAATTAATGGTTAGATCTTCAAAAATGTCTTAAAATACGTACGAGACATCAGATCTTTAAACATCCTAAATCCTGTTTTTGAGTAGAAACTCCTCTCTTTATCGCCACCGTTCTAGAAAGCAGGAAGTCAGTATTTAAAAACGATACTGTTCATATCTCATGACTTAATTGAAATAGCTACCATACCTGTAGTTTGAATATTATTCTGGCCAGGAGCCGAGCTGCATCGGGAACAACACGTGGAGCAACTCTTCGCAAATTTGGGCACTCCTTTTTGTGTATTGGCCAAGAGGCTTTCTGGCATTCTCTTCCACAGTAGTAAACATACTTGCAGCCTGAACACTGAGATAGTTTTGTTCTGAAAAGGAAGTAAATTGCTAATTTTAATTATTTTGCTAGTAACTTTTGATACACATGCTATTATTATTACATTGTCAGTTGTGGGTGCATTCAATGTGAACAGAAGTAAGAATGATGGGATTGTAAAACCAAATATAAAGGTAAAATTCTGAAGCAGCAATGCAAAGTTATCAACTCGTATGTAGAGTTCACCATTTGCCACTACTGAGCACCATCAATTTCTTGGAGTTCAAGACTACCGTTTTATGTGTCCACATAAACTAGATTATTCTAATTTTGACTTTATCCTTGCCAACATTATTATTTTCATGCAGAGGAAAGGGTAGAAAACGCACTTGCCTATTCAAGAGACCAAATTCTATACAAGCAAAATAACTTAGGATCCTTACGATTATTAAAAAAGTGCATTCAAAGAGTTTTCATTCCATTCCAATCCATGAGGAGTTGAGAAAATCTTCAAGTGCCCACATGCCATAACAAGTCCTATCCTAATACCCACTCGGCCCATAAGGTATCCACATCCCACCATTCATCATCAGAATCTTCAGAGTCCCAAGGGAGTCTGGGGCACAGTGGGAAACGCTCAGGTCTACATATGGGAAACAGCATGGGAACAAAGAGATTTCACAATGAGGTTCAAACATAACTACAGTTACCGTTTAAAACTATAACTCCAAATTGAAGATTGGTTTTGCAGTTCCTCAGCTAACAAATGTCCTCTGAAGAGACTATATTATAAACTCTCCCTGAAAAAGTTATGAATTCACACACTAATTTCAAAGAAAATAAAATTGTTCGGATATGTTGCAAGAACTAGACAGCTCATATAGCTCAAAAACAAATTTCTTATAGCACAAGAGATATAGAAATAGAAAAAGAACAAAAAGATATAAGACAAGATAAAACTAAAACACAGTACACTCGCTGTAATAATAATAATAAACCAGTGTATGGAACAGCAGAAAGGAGCTATCCATAGATTTAAAAAAAAGTACAACTTTGTGTCAGATGATAGAGGTTAGGTTTCTCTCTGTTACCTTTCAAAACAGTGATCACAGCGTTCTCCTTGCAGCTTTGATTTTAAAACATGGACAAATGGTTTCTCTGTTAGGAGGGTGGACCCTGCAAGGACGGCAAAGTCACTTTTTGTTTTCATTCTTGAAACGAAACTAAGCGAAGTCGTTGAGGAGACAGAGACGTTGCGGGTACCCTGCTTCTCTCAACCGACTATTTGCAAGCAGCGGTCCCGCCGAAAATAGAGCTCATCTAGTCTATTAATAGGATAAGACCTATGCTGTGGTGAGATGAGCACGATTTGTCACTCGCATTTCATTTCATGCGCGCAACACGATAAATTTAGATGAACACTTTTCATCAGTCAACAAAAACACTTCGACATGTCGTTGCCGTCCGTCGTGTCCTGTCGTCTGCTAGGCACAACATGCAGACGACAAGGACACATAACTTCTAGTTCAATGTCGCAATCAATTACACTTTCATGTTAGAATATGCCCCATGCTTCATTACGATGTTACGCTAGCGCACCTATAGAGACTCCCTTTTCCATCATTCCTTTAACAAGAATTTTTATTTCGGCGGATGTGTTTGAACCTCGCGCCTTTAAGTCTATTGTGTTGGCACTTTTCTGCACAGCCTGCCACAGGGCACCTTTCACCTTTCAGCTGATCCGTCAACCTTTACACTTCACACCCACATCGAACCTTACCGTCCGCGAAAATGGCTACTATCTTGAAGAGTGGAATTCTTCCTCTGGAGGCCATAATCAGAAGAAATGGAGGAAAGGTAAAGTTTCAAACTGCACTCAAGGCATGGCTTCGATTTTCGGCCCACTTGCATCTCGCAGTCACTGATTCCAGCTTGGTTATCTTTCACATTTATAAGGACATGATCATGTTACTCCTGTCACCTTCAGTTTTTTAGCAAGCATACTGCTTAGAATAAAGGTCAAGTTAATCCCCCTGTAATAGTGCTTCGCATGAAGCACATGTTTAGTATGATAATATGTGTAATTTGAGATAAAAGAACTGGTTACAACCTTATGTTACTCTGGTTATTGCTTTTAGATAGATGAGACACTTTCTTGTTCCACCCTTTTTTTCAGGTTGAGTGTGGCATGAGCTCAGTATAAACAAATAACTTTATTATTATTAAAACATAATAACGTATTTGTTTGGTTACATGATATTTGTAACCTTTTAACTGTGAATCGCAGATGCTGCAACCTTTGCTCCCGAGATATGAACGCTGGAGTCCAACAAATTCTTATTACTAACAACATCATTTTAATTTTTTTAACAATATTATGAGTCAGTATTCCTTTCTCCTTCCAGCTGCTTGGTGCTACAACGTCCCTACCAAACCTCCGCCAGCCTAAAAGAAATCTTAATTTACATGAGCATATGAGCTACACTTTCCTCAATGAAGCTGGTATTGAAACACCCAAATTTGGTGTTGCCACAACAAAAAGTGAAGCAGTAGACATTGCAAACAAGCTAGGAACTAAGGATCTTGTTGTAAAGGCACAAGTACTTGCTGGAGGCAGAGGTAAAGGCTCCTTCAAGAATGGTTTCAAAGGTGGTGTCCGAATGGCTTTTAGGTAAGTGGTGATTTATGATAAATTATGATACTCATTCACATTTACACTTCAAAACAATAACTTTATTACTATTTTTATTCTCTTTGATAACTTGTGCTCGATTGTGTGATCAGCCCGGAAGAGGTTGGTGACATTTCAGAGAAAATGTTAAAGCAGACACTAGTCACTAAGCAAACTGGAGAGAAGGGAAAAATTTGCAATGCTGTAATGGTTGCGGAGCGCAGTTATCCAAGAAAAGAGTACTACTTTTCTATTATGATGGAGCGAGCATTCAACGTAAGGATATACTGTAAAGATTTCAAAAATAATGTGACATTATGGATGAAATTAAGTGGTCTTCAATTTTTAACAGGGGCCAGTTGTCATTGCATCTAGTCAAGGTGGTGTGAACATTGAAGATGTTGCAGCTGAAAATCCTGATGCTATTCTTTATGAACCCATTGATGTAATTCAAGGTATAACCAATAAGATTTTTAGTGAACTCATTACTATCTGGTAGAGCCTATAGACTACTCTACTCTCCTTTGAAAAATATTTTCAGGTTTAACCCGGGAGGTAGCTCTAAAGGTTGCCGACAAGGTTGGTTTGAAGGATCAGCGAGACAACACTGCAGACATGCTTCTTAAGCTGTATGACTTGTTCCTGAAAAAGGATGCCTTGTTGGTGGAGCTCAATCCCTATGCTGAAAATGCTGATGGAAGATGTCAGTATCCTACATTTTTTCCTTTCTTAGTCCTACTCAATTTTGACTTGCAAAATTCATGAGCTATTGCTAACACACATGTGACTTTCCAGATTTGACTCTTGATGCTAAAATGAATTTTGATGATAATGCTGACTTTAGGCAAAAAGAACTGTTTGCTAAGAGAGATTTAACCCAGCAGGATGAGAAGGAAGTTGAAGCTCTAAAGTATAATTTGAACTACATTGCTTTAGATGGTATGTTTTTGTTTTCTTGGTTTAAAATTCATGTTATTTTGTATATGAATTTAAGTTCCATTATCTTGATACATTTAAAATTAATTGAAATTATTTCAGGGAGTATTGGTTGTCTAGTCAATGGGGCTGGTCTTGCTATGGCCACAATGGATATTATAAAGCTCCACGGAGGAAACCCAGCCAACTTCCTTGATGTAGGCGGTGGTGCTACTGCCAACCAAGTGAAGGAGGCTTTCAAAATCATTACTTCTGACCCTAAGGTATTAAAATATTATTCAGAATTATCTGACCAAGATTGCTGTGAACTCAATTTTCCATTGATGCTAATTTGGTGGACCCAACTTGCCTGACAGGTACACACCATTCTGGTCAACATATTTGGTGGTATTATGAGGTGTGATGTAATTGCAGAAGGTATTATTGCTGCATGCAAAGAGTTAAACCTTAATGTTCCAATCGTCTGTCGTTTGCAGGTATGTAAGACCACTTGTACAAATAGCAAAGTTTTTTTTGTTTTTTTTTGTTTTTTTTTTTTGTTACTTGAAAATTAATCCAATTTGTGTAACTTCTAGGGAACTGAAGTTGACACTGCTAAGGTTCTCATAGCCTCTGCAGGATTGAAGATTCTTCCCACTGATGATCTTGATGAAGCAGCTAGATTAGCAGTAAAACTCTCAAATATTGTTGGCATGGCTCGATCAGCAAACCTCAACATCAACTTTGAGATCCCCATTTGAGCTCCTATGCTATTCCTGGTAAGTGAAACGGAAGTTTTGGTTACCATACATGAACAGAAACAAACTAAATTCATCTGAATTGACAAAGCTTTTTTTCTCTTTTTTGTTAATGAAGGACATAAATTACAGTGCAGTTTGGGGGATATAACACCTGCTGGAAGGAGTGTAATGCCCTTAGAACTATTTCAAATCAACCGAAATTGAAGGATAATGCTCAGCATTGTTATGTTGGTGTGTTTGTTATAGAATTCTATGAGACCTAATTTATTATGAAATTCAACTTTCTTGTACGAGAAAGTATTTCTCATTTGCTATGCTTTCAGCACCTACCTTTTACTCTTTTACTCTTATGTAATGTATCGGATTAATCATCAACTGGAATGTGGTTTAGAAAGTGCTTTTAGATGTGTTTTTTTCATTCTACATTAATTTTTCCCTGTAATTTCTGCTGTTTAGATGAAACATTCTTTCCATTTCATCTCCAGCTGTGGATTCTATGTAATTCAACGCAAAAATGGCCTCGCTACTTGTCATTGATGTCCTTTACTTTTGTAAGCACCATTTCATGACATTACTGCATTTGCAATTGTTAAAGTTTAGGCTATGAAGAATTGAGATTGATTCACTTTAACTCATAGATTAATCCTCACTGCCACTGTGCACTATTAACTCTTACCTATCATTACACCAAAATTGTATTCTCTTCTTCCGTTGTGCTGCTGGTCTGTGCCTTTTTGGTTCATATGTTTTTATTTTGGATTGGTATGATGTACACCATTCAAATTTTAACTGTTGTTATATTTATAAGGATTTGATCTATGGCCATGACCCTGTTTATCTGGTTGTCATTTATGCTTTTCTGTAAAACTATCGAAATGATTGATCCTTAAACATGCATTGTTTTTGATTGTAAATTTGTCATAGTTTCAAATGTACAGTTGTAATTATTCTACGGTTCAAAACAACTTTATCCTGTACAAATACTGCTTGGCTGGATGTTGGATGTTCACACTGAGGTTTGACTGTTCTGCTGGACAAGTCATGCAATTATGGATAGTTTTTTTTTTCATTATAACTAATTATACATGGTTGTGAGTTTTGAAGTTCCTTTTCATTGCGAACAACAAACAATTTTTATTACTGTAATACTGTATTGACTGATCCAGTTCACTTCTCAGCAGTATTTCATATTTCATTGAATCCAAAGTCCATTGAAGGTTAGTACAGAAGTGTGAAATGTGTGAATATGTATATTTCCTACCAAAAATTTGTGAAGTATTGTTGAATTCATAAGAGTGCGATAATACTCATTAAGTTATGTAAATTTAATTTAATGTTATTCTTTAATTGTGTGTCAAAAGCCACATCTTCATGCAGTGCACTGCAAATCTAGTAATTTATCACAAAACAAACACCGTTTCAGTTCTAGCAAATAAAAAAAATATGAAAATAATACCCTTGTGGTATGATATTTTATACACAGTTGTGTATCATCAATCAGTAATAAAGGTTGAAAACTGATGGCCATTTCATTTCTACTTCATTCTTGAATTTTAATGTAAGGAGTTCATCTTACACAAATAAAGGTACAATGCACACTTTGTTGCAAATTATACATTAGAAAAGTAAAATTTAAAATTTGTTTCCTTACTCAAATCTTTTTAGCAGTCCTTACATTAACATGCAACTGTGCATATTTACTACATGCTTCACTTGCTTTCCAACAGCGTTCTTGCTTTGAACGAGCTGGTATTCTCGTTTTAAATGTGATTACAGAGGATTGCATTGATGCAGTCTGTCCTTCAGATTTTGGAACAGCCACATCAGCATCATTATCAAGTTCTATTATGTGGCTAAGTGCCTCTTTCATCCACTTTGAAGCATTGAATTCTTCAGTAAGATAGGCCTGTAAGATAATAAATAAGCTTCAAGCTTCAAACCTAGTATAGAAAACAATAATTCATAGTGTTACTTACCTTTGGAACACAACAGCGCACTTTTAATTCAGTCTTGTGAAGAGCAAGTAACATAACAGGCACATCAACTTGCCTTGTGTATTTTTGTAATGGTACCTTAACTAGAAGATCTGAAAGCTGCATTACATGCACTAAATATTTGGCACCTTCAGCTTTTCTTCTTACTTCCAAAAGAGAAATGTATCTAAAACAAGATAAAGCACAAAGTTTCCAAGTATTTAAACGTGCTACATATTGAGTTATTGGTTCCAAACCTTTATCTTCCCAAGATTATACAGAGTTCTTTTTTTTATTTTGAAAAATTTTCAGGCTCCATGTTTGAGGGATGATTAGTGATTTGTGTCACTAATGTTACATTAATACTGGATTTGTTTTAAAATGCCAAAATTTACTTCTAGTTTTTACTGAAGACACTAATGACTATTTCAAAACCTTTCGTCAAACTTCAGAATTAATTTCTTGGACATACCTTGCCATGTTCTGAATTTTTGTAGTTGCTTCCTCCAGAGCAGCAGCTGAAGCATCATATGTGACATATGAGAACCGAGTCCTATTCTCTTCAATAAATTTTTTTATTTTAATGAAATTTCTCTGAACTCTCTTAATCTGAAAGACAAAGAATGCAAAGTATATGTTAATACCTAAAACAGTTATTGACTAGTGAATGAATTCAAATAACCGGTAGATGACATACATCTTCTATGTACGGTTTTATGGCAGGTACACTAGATAATCCTAACATTCGTTCTTCTAGTTCTTTGACACCATCTTCTAGTTTTACAACATTTTTTACAAAATTGGTTACAGTATCAGCTAGTTGATGAGAATTAGCAATTGCTTGAGTAGCTTCCAAACCAGAAACAGCACACACACTCGTCTTCTTTGATTTTATGACCTCAACAATACAGAACTTTCCAATATCTTTTGTGTTTAAGACATGAGTGCCACAGCAGGCTTCCCTGTTTGAGAAATACATGAGAGTTCCATAACTACTGTTTTGTACAAGATAGGGAAAAATGTAAATACTGTAACACATTCATTGCAAACCTTGAAATAATTTTTTTCCCTCTTTTGATGTCTATTATATGAATATTTTCGACTGGGTATGTTTCATCAGGCACAAGTGTGGTGTAAGGAGGAATTTGCCACATGTTCACTGTGTATCGATTGACTGTAAGTTCATCCGTTATGGCATGCGCAATAGCTTCTTCTAGTTTCCTTGCATCTAGAAAGAGATACAAAATATCGAATAAAACCCCTTCACTGCTGTACTTTTCCTTTAGATAATAACAGGATGAAAAATATCTACCTTCAGCTGTGAACTCTTCCCCATGAAGTGAGTAGGTCATTTTTAAATATTGGTGCTGAACAACACACTTCTCTTGATGAGGTGCATCAAATAACCTTTGCATTTCACCATTGATAAGATGAGCTAATGTATGATTCTTCATAGAATTCATCCTGTTTGCTTCATGTATCTCAGTAAGTACCTCTTCACCAAGAGAAAGACTAAAAAAGAATGTTTTAGAAACAGATTTTAAAATTGTACAATGAAAATTTTGAACTACTGCATACTTAAGGAAACGGTAAAACTGCCTCACCTGCCATTTAAATTCCCAAAGTGAATAACGTGCGCACCAACTTTAGTTACCTCTTTAACTGATAAAGACCGTCCTTTTATACCAGTGCTAAAAAGTATTTCTCCTTCATCAGAGAGCTGGCCTCCAGCTGAATGATAAAAATTAGTTCGATCTAAAATTACCCCACATTCAGTTCCTCCTGAAGCTTCATGTTTTAACTCTCCATTTACCAACAGGCCAACAACTTTGGCAGAGACTGATGGGAAACTGTATATATCATTATATAAGTCAAAATCATATTTGAATGTATCATTTGTCGGTGGGATCTTGGCAGATGAAAGAATTCTAACCAATTTATCTTGTGTCTTTCCTGTTGCCGAAGCTACTTTACTCTGGTACTTGATGGTCTCTAATTTGTTGTCATAACTATCAATATCAAATTTTTTGCCTATGTAAACAGACAGAAAGTTGGTATGCATACAATGCTGAAAGTAGAATGGAAACCATCACTGACATATCGACTTACCTAACATTTTTGCCATTTCTGCAATCAACTCTGTACTCATACCGTGTGATTCAAAGAAATGGAATGCTAATGCTGGTGTGACTTCTGAAGTTTTATTGGAAGTCATTTTACGATAGGCAGCAGCAAGTGCACTTCGGTTTGAGCCAATTTCTAAGAGACTTTCTAGCTCAGGTTTTTCTTTAACAGCTTGCATCCAATGCTTAGGAAATTCTTGTTTAAGAGAACTGTAAATGGCAGCTTCATCTCGAATCACTCTGTGGACCTATATGTGAAAAAGAATACATACTTAAGCAGAGAAGAACAATACTTTGATCAGAGGATGAAAATATACCTTTGATAAATTTCTTCCTATTTCAGGAAAACTGCTGTGAAGGGAATCTGCGACATGATTTGTCAGCTCTACCAAAAGGTTCACATTGCTATTGAAGACCTTGTGAGTGACATTCAGAGATCTACGAAGAACTCGACGAAGTTTGCATCTATAACATAGATTAGAAAAGTTAAATACTGTGGTAGAAGAGGTATAGCAAGAGAATGCTATAAACTTACTCCTGGTGTGGCACAACGCCATCAGCTAGGGCAACTGCAAGAAGGCGAGAGTGGTCAGAAAGAATGCGATATGCACTATCTCTTTCAAATGCCTCGTCAGCCTCATTAAAGGAGCCAGAATAGGCAGGGCATCCTGTTATCTAAAGTTTGGAAAAGTATTATTCTTATGTTTATTTATGGGATGAAGGCATGCTTGTCATAAAAGTTGTAACAATTACCTTATTGATTGCACCCATCAGAGGCTTAAAGAGGTCCGTGTCATAGTTTGACTGTGTACCATTCAGCACAGCCACAAGTCTTTCAAAACCCATGCCTGTGTCAATATGCGATTGGTTTAGGAGATCCAGCTGGCCATGTAAATTCCTACATCAAGAAACTCAAAAGATTAAAATGAATTGAAACCGAAACAAAATATTTGAAAAAATGGAATAGGTGAACTTCCATTTCTTTCTTTCCTTTTTGTAATAGAACAGCGAGTTTCTTAGAGACCACAATATTACCTATTGAACTGAATAAAGACAATATTCCAGAGCTCTGTGAGGTCAGAATAACCAGCATTCACTCGAGCTCCTGCATCACGACGATTAGGAATGTGATCAATATGAATTTCCGTACAAGGCCCACATGGACCAACTAGACCCATTTCCCAGAAGTTTTCTTTGGCACCAAATGGTAGGATATGACTTTCTTCAACCCTGCGATCAAAATCCAAAATATAAATGAAAAAACAACAACATTGGAATATAAAATTTTGTTTGGAATAATTTATAAGGCCTTACCCTAATTGCCCCCAGATATCTTTAGTTTCTAAGTCTGGCTCCAATGACAAACTGCTATCACCAGCAAAGTAAGTAACATATAGACGATTTGGATTGATGCCAAATGGTCCAGTTAGTAATTCCCAAGTCATTCGGCATGCTTCAAGCTGAAAAAAGAATGAATTTTATAAAATATTTATCATTGAATTAAAAATAAATATGTACTAACAAACAATAAACCTATTTAAGAATTTAAGAACACAATACCTTGTTGCAATCACCAAACGACCAGTTTCCTAACATTTCAAAAAAAGTATGATGATATCCATCACTGCCAACAATATCCAAATCATTATGCTTTCCTCCAACCCGAGCACACTTTTGACTATTGGCTGCTTTCAATGCAGGAGGTAGTGTCTGTCCCAAAAGTACAGGTTTAAACTGAAAGGATTCAAAATGATTAACCAAAGCAACGCAACTGAAGATCTACGTGTGTTGAGAATTTTTGCCAAGTTTCAGTTTGAAATGGATCCAGTGAAAACTTCTTACCTGAACCATACCAGCGTTGACAAATGGAATTGTGTCATCACTGATAGGCTTCAGAGGGCATGAACGCACATGAGTGTGATCATTTTCATTGACAAAATATTCAATGAAGCGGTTTCTGATGAATGAAGAGGCGATAGGGGCATCTACACTGTAAAGTCTATGCAGTATACGCTTTGAGTGCCTTGATTTGAAGCGTAAGGCGAACATTTTAAACCATCTGTATGGGTAAAATGCATTAGTTTGAAAAAAACAATAGACCAAAAAGCATTACTACTTGTTAGTTTACAATGCATAAAAGTTAACCTGCGAATACCGAAAGCTGTAATGCCGAATGCTCAAAGTTTTGATCAAAGAAAAACTGGAAAAACTGCCTTACAGCAAAGTTGGGACATCGGACGCAGTCAATGTGGTTAAAGACAACTAAAGCTATGTTTCAAACAATTCCAAAGCAATAAAATAGACAAACATTTTTCTCCATAGCAGGCCTAGCAGCCGACGAATGGTCTGTTTGTATACACCAGAACACTAGGTTAGGAGGAAACTATGGGGAACATAACCTGCCTCACGTGCTTACAAATAGTCAAATAACAAGTATACTGTAAACTGTCACATGATACTAACTCACACAATTATTTATGACTCTTTTCTGAAGTAACGGAAGTAACTACCCATCCATGATCGTTAAGAGAGGAACTTAGGTAGGTTGAGGGTTGATTTTGATCCCGGCAGCTGGACCTGCTGGACCGGAAGGTGCGAGAGGGAGGCGGGTCGAAAGGGGGAAGCGGGTGAGGAGAGGGGGGGGGGGGGAGGGGGAGGATGCTGTGTGGTCCTGCGCCCTGGCGCTCTGTGCGAGACCTTGTTCGTGGTCCTGGCAGGATAAATGCATACCGTTGAATTATTATGAATGACCGTGGTTATTTCGTTGAGTCTTTCCGAACGGTTCGTGGTTTTGGCGGTTGTGGTGTGAAAGCATCGGTGTTAAACTCCGCCCTTGCGCGACCAGTGTGTGTCTTTGATAGAAGAGTTGTCATCAAAGGTCCGGGACGAGGCAAGCGGGAATAAGTTGGTTCAGAACCAACACACAAGTACTTAGGACCGGACCTTGCGGATCCTCTTTTGAACTCGCTTCGCGCAGTTTTGAGAGGCATTTGGCTCGCGGAAACCATAACAGACAGCAGCCTCCAGTGTCCTCGCCAACCCCGAGCCCCTGAGGCACCCGAGACCAAACCCAACAATGGGGCGGGCGCGGGCTGCGCACCCCGCGCGCACCTCGCGCCGCGCATCGCGGGGAGGAACAGCTGACTGTCGCCGGTAAACATTCCCCGCGGCGCCCGAAACTGCCCGCGACGAGGCCGCCCCGGTCGCCGAGGGGTCGCCGCTCACGTCCAGCACCATGAGCCGCTCCAGCGGGGGCGGCCAGAGCCTCGGCAGCAGCAGAGGCCGGGGGTCCCAGGGCCCCGACGAGGAGCCGCTCCAGTCGCCCCTGCCGCCGGCATCCCCCTCGCCGTCGGTCGAGGCCAGGCTCGGTGAGTACCCAAGATAGTGAGAAAAGGGTTTCCGACATCTTTCGATAAGTTGTTCCCCGAAAGCTCCTCAAGGCGTGATTGTGTTTGATGCCCACTTCGTTATCGAGACGACCGCCACACTGAACGCCCCCCGGGCTGACTCCAGGAAACATTAGGCGCCAAGCCCTCCTTTACCCTACACTGCCCGGACCCACTCTGGCGCTCAGGGCAGGGAGGGGCGGGCCGCCGGCCGCACTCAGATGCCCGGCGGGTTGGCCTACCCCGTGAGTCGCAGGCGCTCCGACCGACCGACCCCGCCGATGGGGTTCCTCTTGAGATCTCCGTATCACTTTGCGATCGGCCGCGGAGTCGTGGCGCCCACATCTCAGCTCGATGAAACTTATCTCACCGAGCGGAGCTGGGCTGCCGCGGTACACACAAAACACAGCCCGGCAGTCTCTTCTCCCCGCGCGACACGGCCGGCGGTACTGGCGCTCCGCGTGCTCCGTGGCGGTGTGGGTGGAAATTAGACCCTTTATCGGCAGATGTCGCTTTCTCCAGCCGTCGGGATGAAGAACGGTGTGAGCACCAATTCTACGAGACGCAAGTCGCGAGCTGAAATGGCAGCGAAAGTGACGGTCGTCCTGGGTGCTCAGTGGGGCGACGAAGGCAAGGGGAAGGTGGTCGACATGCTCGCGACTGACGTCGACGTAGTGTGCCGGTGTCAGGTAAGTTTCGATTCTATCGTGTAAAATGAGGAATTAGGGGTTGGGGGCTACAAACCACACTCTTTATCTTTTTTTCTTGGGGAGGGTGGTGCTGGTGGCTGATTGCGACCCCGTCCACCCACATTCGTAGTTACTGTACCGCACAGTCACCACCGGTCATCACTTATGCTCTAGTAAAATCTTAATCCAGCCAGACATCTCTTCTTGTGTTGTCTTTGAATTCCCAGGGAGGGAGCAATGCTGACCACGCAGTTGTGGTGGGAGACAGGGAGTACGTCTTCCACCTGTTGCCCAGTGGCATCATCAACCCCAAGTGCAAGTCTGTGATAGGTACGTGTGGTGTGGATCAGTCAGCGGCGGGAGCTCTATCTGACGCGACCCCCGGCCCAGCCTTCCGGCCTTCCGGATTCCTTTGTGCACATGAGCGGGCGCATTGTCGTTGTACAAGATGCACGAGCACACATTTGCTGAGCTTGCCAAGGTTTTGTCGCCCCATTCTCAAACACGATTTGAGCCCCGGGTGCCCCCCCACCCCTTTCCCCCTACCGTAAGGCCGTATCAAACTGGCGTTGGCGCCCAATCTGCGCTCAGCGGTCAGAGGGGTCGGGTCACGTTGCGTAGGTCGTGTCAGACAGCTCATCCAGACAGTTGCTGCTCTTGTTTTCATTTCTAAATTAACTCGACTCTTTTTTTCATTCGACTCGCAGGCAACGGTGTTGTGATTCACCTGCCCGGACTGTTTGAAGAAATTGAAAACAATGAAGCTAAGGGTCTCACTGGCTGGAACGACCGCCTGCTCATATCAGACCGAGCCCACATTGTGTTTGATTTCCATCAAGTGAGTGTTGTTTTTTGTTTGATGATGATTTATGGTATGGAAATGTTGACCACCCTCTCTTGTTTTATCCGCAGCTAATTTGCTCCTGTATTGTCTTATGATTGCAGCAAGTTGACGGGCTTCAGGAACAAGAAAAGGGGAAAAACTCGATCGGCACCACGAAGAAGGGAATCGGTCCAGCTTACGCATCTAAGGTCACTCGAAATGGCATTAGAATAGTGGATTTGTTAGGTGATTTCAGCCTGTTTTCCGAAAAGTAAGTTACAAACAATTAATCAACTTGAATATTTAAAAAAAATTTAAAAAATTGGGGGACAGCGGATTTTGTAACAACAGTTGTAATTTTGCTTTCCCTAAGGTTTCAAACCTTGGTAGCATACTACCAACGCCTATTCCCTGAATTGGTTGTGGATGTCCCTGCAGAGCTTAAACGGTACAAAGTTCTAGCAGAACGCGTAAGACCTCTGGCATGTGAAACTGTATCATTTCTTCATGAAGCCTTACGTCAGCACAAAAAAATCCTTATTGAAGGCGCCAATGCTGGAATGTTAGATATTGATTTAGGTTGGTGGTAATTAAAACAAAAATGTCTACATTTTAATTTTTTCTTATTAAATAACTGCTCCATGCTAAGACGGTCTTTGTATGCATTGCAGGAACTTATCCATTCGTCACATCATCGAACTGCAGTATAGGTGGCGTTTGCACGGGTTTGGGAATTCCCCCAGTGAGTATTGGAACTGTTGTTGGTGTCGTGAAAGCTTACACTACTCGTGTTGGTGACGGCCCATTCTTGACAGAGTTAACGGATGTAAGTTGGCCATACTATTTTCTTATGTCAAAACTTTCAGTGTGGTCGATTAGGTGACTCCTTACAAATTGCCGTTCCATGTGTAGGACATTGGCGCACTTCTTCAAAGCAGAGGTCATGAAATTGGCAAGACAACCTTCAGGTCAAGACGTTGTGGGTGGTTGGACATACCGCTCTTAAAACATACCACTCTTGTGAATGGCTACACTCAGTAAGTGCCTCGGAATGAGGTGTTTCCTTCAAGGAATGTTGAGACTATGTTGAGGGACGAAGTTGCCTTGGCCGTGCCGTGGTCGCTCTGGCGCGCTCTGGCGTGGGCGGCTCACAGGGCGGGCCGCCGGCTCCACGCACACGCCTGGCGGGCCGGCCTACCCAGTGCGTTGCAGGCGCTATCAATGGCAGCTCAAGTATCGCTGAGAATGGCCGTCGGAACGTACATTGTAGGGACTAACCACGGGGACTGAAAATTAGTATACAATGTTCACCATCTTCTCTCTTATGCAATTTAGGTTGTGTGTAACCAAACTAGATATCCTGGATGTACTACCCGAACTAAAGATTGCAGTGGCCTACAGGAAAAATGGAAAAGTCATTGATTACTTCCCCTCGAGTACAGTTGAACTTGCAGCTGTTGAGGTAGTTTCATTCATATATTCTCAGAGTCTACTTTACTTACGACTTCGATTTGATTTTCCAGGATTTTCTTACCTCTTGTTTTGTGTTTTTTTTTTTTAGGTTGACTATGTGACACTACCTGGGTGGATGACTAGCACTGAAGATGTTAGAGATTTCGAAAAGCTCCCCGAGAATGCAAAGAACTATATTCGGAAATTAGAAGACCTCGTGGAAGTACCGAGTTAGTGATTTTATCTTACCAACCCCTCTTCTCCCGACTCACTGCAAAAATTAAATTTCATACTAATTTGTTCACTTTCTATTTTTCTCACTAGTTCGATGGATTGGCGTTGGAAAGGGGCGTGAGTGCATCATCAATGTATTTTAAATAATATTCAGTCCTGCAATAAAGTGTTTCCCTCCTGAAACCTCGTCATTCATGTAGAAATGGAAAACCCTTGAACACCTGTTGCCTGTTGGTTTCTGTATGGCCTCCACCGCACACTGCAAACACTTTTTAGGAAATTTATTGGACAAATTTCTGTTGTAAAATTCCGACTTGTTTGCACAGTGTCGGTATGGCCACGTCTAGTGAGTATCGAGTCGCGGCGCCCATACTTCCGGCCGTGCGTATGTCCGGTTTATGTCCCGCGCCCACCACTTACCTCCGGCGGGGGCTTTACGCGCACGGCTCAGCCAGCCCCTTTGTGATCCGTTCCGCCCGCCAAACCTCCACTACTTCCGCCACGCCACGCACTGGCCTCACCCCTACCCTCCACTGAATTGATGATCAAAGCGTTTCATTTGTGTCCGTAGACGGTCAATGACCTCCACCTCCCGCTCTCTCGTGTCTCCGAGGGGCGCCACCCGAGGAGGAGTTGTTGGCCCCCAAAGGGTTTCCCTCGGATAAGCCTACAAGAACAACATACTACCTCATTTCTGACTCGCGTCGTGGTCAAGCATCAGGGGCCGTTCACAAACGACGTCACGCTTTTTGGACCTTTTTTTGACCCCACGGTCCCCATTGTCACAGTAAGTCACAACCTGTGACGTCACATTCTCACCACCGGATGGCGCGCCTCGTTCGACAATAGTGATTGCTTCATCACCGCGCGGAGTGAGTAACGGTGTGACGTGTCACAGGGATCATGGCACCCGCACACCGGTTGTCACAATTAGTCACAGATTCGCCTCCCCCCCCCCAAAAAAAAATAAAAATAAAAGCGTGACGTAATTTGTGAATGGTCCCTTATCAGGCACTTCTCTTAATTGTGGAAAATTTAAAAACCGATTTCACGCAGTCTCGACTCTATCGGCCTGCACACACTCTGGAGAGAGTGTGGCCGAGATACCTTCGGTCCCCCTCCGACCTGGTTCACTCAAGTCAAGTTGTCGTGTGTTTGTAAGTCTGTATCAGCTGTTTGTATCACCCACCGTTGAACGGTTCAGCCCGTCGGGGGGCAGGGGGTGGGGTGGGTGCGGTGGGCCCCCGGGGAGTGGTCGGCCGGCGCGTGGGGGAAGGGGGGGGGGGCTCCCCGCGGCGGCCAGGCCGTACCGTACCGTACCGCGGCCAGCGCGCGCCACACTGTCGGCGGCACCGCGTTCGCGACCGCGCGCCGAGCTGAGCGCAGCCGAGCCGGTGAGGTCGTCCCCCGCCGAGGTATCGTATCGTTTCGCGCTCGCGGAGCTGCGGAGCGGGGCGGGGCGGGGCGGGGCGCCCACGGCTGAGCGGCCGGGCACGGGCACCTCCACACCGGCGGTCTGCTCTACTAGGCCCGGCCGCAGCAGCCGCAGTAGCCCCGCCGCGGCGGCCCGAGCGTGCAGCCGCGTGTGTCGCGAGCCGCGGCCGCCTGGAGCTGGAGCAGCTGGAGGGACTCGAGCGAGGTGCTGGGCGGGCTACTGCTCGGAGCAGAGTGCGGCGGGGTGGTCGTGATCGCCACTGCGGCCGCGGTGCTAGAGTAGAGTAGAAAGGGCAGTGAGACAACGTGTTTGCTCATCATCAAAAAATTGAGTTCTTTTCTTTTTCTTACTCGTGTAAGTTAATGCTTACATTCTGAAACTTTTGCCCTCTTCGATTTTTGATAACAGTATGCAGTTTCATTGCTAAATATGAGCTCTGCAAACTGAGACAATGGGTTCTGTTGGGCCGAGTCATCCGCGTACTACTGTACTGAGTCCGTGCATGTCGTGGCGGGGCGTTGTGAGGCGGAGGAAGG